TGACCTGGTCCTAGCAGCACAAGATAAACACTTGGAAGTTTTGGAGTGCCTCATCTCTGAGGCCCTGAAGTCAGTGGGAAAATTCTTTGCTGACTGGAGACTCATACCCAGTGTCAGCAAAATGGTGACCACCTGTTTCCATCTCAACAACAAACTCACAAATGCCATTCTGAAAGCATGACTGAATAACAACTTACTATCAGACTCTTTCCTATAAGAAACACCTAAAGAGCATGTCCACTAAAATCAATACCAGGACTAACTTACTCCATAAACTAAGAAGATCAAGATGGGGAACCTCTGCCTCTACTCTCAGAATATCAGCACAAGGGTTGGTCTACTCCCCAGCTGAATACTGTGCCCCTGCTTGATTAATAGCTAGCAAGATCGATGCTAAGACCAAATGATACAATGCGGATCATAAGCAGTTGCATAAAACCTACTCCTACTTGCTGGTTCCCCATCTTGAGCCACATTGCACCACCTGCCTCTACAAAGGCAGGAAGCCTTAGTGAAGGAGTACAAGAAAATGTTGAGATACCCACTTTTTCCTGTGCACACTGATCTTCCTCATCTATCAATTGGCAGGCTTAAATCCAGGAAGCCCTCTCTGGAACTCACTCAACAGCTGTCTAACAACTTTGACATCAACACACAGTGGAAAGCCAAATGGGCTGCTGAACACCCAGAGACAGGCAGCTTCATAGATGACCCTACACAAAAAGTGCCAGGTTTTGACCTTACTCACCAGCATTTGTCAACTCTAAACAGAATCCATGCCCAACATGGTTTCTGCCAGGATTCATTGTTTAAGTAGGGTCTTGTCTCTACCCCTCAGTTTGACTGTAGTGCTCCTCAACAAAATATCTATCACATTGTGTCCGAATGTCTATCAAGAGCTTACACCAGCCCAATGTCTGGTTTTTTTCAACATAGACCACCCTGTCTCTGAATGGCTGAGTGGACTGGACATTAAGATTTGAACCACTTTAAGTCCATGTATTTGCCTTATACTAAATAAATGTATGCTATAGTTTTTAAAATATTTTTAAGACTCTGATATCTTCTATGCTTTTTAATTGACTGTATCCCACCCTCCTTATGCTAGTCTATAACCATGATAAAAGATTGATTTGAAAATTCATTTCCTTTAAGTGATGTGGGGGGACAAATTGCATTGAACTACATGCATTCTGACAATGTCTGTTCAGAGAAAAACTGCATCCATGCTCTTTTCTTAGGTATTCTCTATGTAATAATAATAAAAAAAGGTTAGGGGAAAACATTAAGGCTGAATGTTGATAAGAAAAAATTATATGGAAGTTTGTGTATTACTCATATCTCCTCATGTTCATCAGCCAATTTTATGTCAAGCTAAGCTGGGATGAAATGAAGATGGTGAGATCTGGCTAATGTGAAAGATTTCATTCTGATTATTTGTTTGAGGTTAATTCACATGTAATTTTTAGATCTCATAAGTCCTTTTAGTCCTAAGTCAACCATTATATAGAGAAAGTTTGGCTATGTTTTCTATGGCTCACTCCCAGATTTTTTAAACTTGAATAAAGTAATTTAGGAACAAGAAAGTGGGAGGTGAGGATACTTGAGAACCCAAAACATGTTTTCTGTTGATATGGTCTTAGCTGTATGTACACAGAAATGAGTTTTTATATGTTTATTACTAAGTACTGTGCAGGCTTTCTGTATACATTTTTTGGGTAATGCAACCATATAAGATTTTTGCCAATAAAAATAGGAGATGCAAACTTCACATGTGCAGAAACCTAAAATATCCAAACTTTTCCATAAAGACATCCCAATACAAATAGCTTTCAAGGCTTCTGTCTTGACATGAAATAATATGGTACAACATCAGAGCATGTCAATATGTTACCAATAATTAGCAATTATTTTAATTGTTGCCAAAAAGCTTTTAACAGTTTATGAACATTAAACATATTTTAAATGTATATTAAAGGTTAAAAGAACACATTAATCTACAGTTTACTTAGCTATATTTATTGAATTGGCAGCAATTAGCTGTGCTCACATGCTAAGCTTTAAACCATAATTTACAAACCACAAAGGCTGATTTTACACAACATTCTTAAATCAAAAGTAGAGAAATTACATTATGACTTAATATAATATTTAAACCCAGTCGTAATTTCTTTCAGGAACAAAGGCAAGTAAGTATGGTCTAGTTCTTAAAGTGCTTGAATCCACGTTCAAGCTTACCACTGGAAACTCATTCAATAACTTTGGACCATACTCCTTAGCCCACAACACTTTTACGCCCCTCAGACAGGGTTCGCAATTTGGGAGTCCTCCTGGACCCACAGCTGACCTTACAACATCATTTGTCGGCTGTGACCAGGGGTGGCATTTGCCCAGGTTCGCCTGGTGCACCAATTGCGTCCCTACCTGAACCGGAGGCACTCGCAACAGTCA